CGTGTCATAAGAGAAATTTGATCAATAATATCTATCATTTGCTTAATAGTATACAATTTACTTGGCTTTTTAGTACTAAGCTCAGTATACAACTTTTATTAATCAGATTGTAAAAAAAAGAAAAAGTATTGAAATGATTGATCGCTACAAATAAATAGTATACGAAGAAAGAAACACATACACAATTATTTTGTTAAGTGGCAGAAAGAAAGATACCGGTTGAACCGAAAAGATCAATAACAAAAAGATATCACTACGAATGAAAAGAGAAGATATTCAGATAAATTTAAAAAAAAGAAGAAAGACATAGTTTAAGAAATAAATACAAATCACAATATATGGCCCCGTACCAATGCTTGTTCCTGACCATTATTATTAGCTATCACTTGATTTCCATCTTTTTTATTGGCAATTCTTGGAGATTCTTCACGATCACCTACACGATAATTTTTACGAATTCCTAATAATTGAGAGGGTACATTATCTGGTTGATTATTAGCGAGATTAGCTTTATCATATGGAGCATTACGAGCACGCTCTATATCCCTTGCAACATTGTGTATATCTGAATTCTGTTGATCACCATTTGATTTATTGAAAGAAGATTTATTTGTATCATTCAACGATCGTTTTAACTATAGAATAAAATATAAAAATATTCAATGCAAATCTATTAAATATTGTCTTACACGTTGAAGATTTTCTATTTTGTTTTGTTCTTGATCTAAAATTGAATGTATAATCGTTTATTTGTATAATAAAAATCTTGCTTTCAAAAAAAAGTAAAGATTTGAATGCATAAATTCATAGAGGAACAGAAAAAATAACTATGATTTTATCTCTCAGGTTTTCGAAATCATTGTATGTTACATTGAAAATAACTATAATTATTTGTATTATGAATTAGCTGAAGATGACAATTCTTTTCATGCGAATATGGTTTGTATCGAAGTCTTTCTTAAAAATTAACACATTTTGGAATATTTTTCTCTTCTACATAATCCAAACTTATTGAAAGTATTTAAAGATAGATGATAATTTCCAAACTACTCGTTTCTTTTTCTTTATAGATTAAATATTATAGCATATATCATATAAGCAGATGGAGGAAAGAGTAATTGTTATGAAATTTTAATTTAGTAAAAGGTTTTACTTTTAATATGTTAAAACAATTCTAACTTTCCATATATTCCAAGAAAGTTATTTATTATTCCAACTCATTATCATCACTGTCATCTTTTTAATTCCTGAAACTTGCTTTCTTGCTATTTCTATTACTATATAATGTTTTTTAATGCTTTCCTTCATATAGTCCTAATTAAAATTGTTACTTTATATTTCAAACTTACTATTTTTATCAACTTCTGCACCAGATTCACGACCTGGTTGTTGCTTATTGTTGTTTAATGGTGGTGCTGGAATATTTTGATTCACTACTGAATTACTTTCATTACCATATATATTAGCAATTTTTTGTTTAATATTCGAGACAACTGGAGCAAATTTATCTCTAATTTCATTTGTAATATTACTAAGTTTAGCTAAAGGTTCTCGAAAAATAGCTGAAGTATTCTTTGCTATTTCTTTCGCTTGAAATAATGGCTGAAAACGTTGACTTGGAATTTCAATTGGTTTTTCTTTTGAAATATTACTAAATAAGAAAAAATGAATTTTCTATTCGTATTAACTCTTTATATTTACAATTGACTTCTATAATCTTCAACTTCTTGTTTTAATCGAACTATGAGTTCGTTATCAGATTCTAAACATAAATATTAAAAGAAATTTTAAGAAAAAAAAACTAATACGAACTTTTTTGTTTATCATATTCTTCTTGTAATTTATTCATAGCTAAATTTTTTGATGAAAGTGGTCCAGCTTCATTTTTAAGTTCTTTCTAAAAAAAGAGATAAGATAGAATAAAAATAATTTGTAAGAATATTATTTTACTAATTGTTCATCGACAACTTGTTTATCAGATTTTAAACTTTGAAGTTCTGCCAATTTTTCATTTAATTTCGTATTCAGATCATTGAGTTTCGAATCTTTTTTTTTCATTTCGCTTTCAGTATCAACCATTTTTCTATCAGCTTCATTTTTTTGAGTTTTAATTACTTGAACTTCTCGTTCAATATCACTATTTTTCAGTGTTAACTAATAAAAAAAAGATGAGATAAAATGAAGAGTCAACATATTTTCTAGTTTACCATTCGTATACGTTGTTCAAATTCATCTAATGTTTGTCGAAGTTCAGTACTTTTCGATGAACATGACATATAAAAAAATCCAACAAGAAATACTATCAGAAGGAGACCAACAACAACAAAACTCGGTGATCGACCTGCCATATTAAACAAGAATTATTCACCAGTCGGTTTGATTTATCTAGAAGAAAACAAAATTTGAAATTTACCATATTTCTTCGAGCTTTTTCCTCTGTTCTTATAGAAAAGAAAAAAGGTTATTCATTCTACATAGTTACAAATCACGCTTTGTTTTCACCATAACATTAATTATATCTATATTTGTTTTGATTTATATGTACAAGTATAGGCAGAACGGTAAGAAATGAAAAAAAAACATTTGTTTTAAAAAAAGAAAGAAAATTATAGGGTGATTGTTCAAATATTAATAAAAATAAATCTTTGTTTAACATTTCAATATTATATACAATAGGAATATTAGTATTTTTTTCTTTTATATAACTTCAAATAGTACGCTATGGCAATTGTTTGTTCAAAAGAAAATCAAAAGAAAATTTATTTGACAAAAACACTCAATTTCGATTCATGATTTGAAAATATGAATAGCATAAAAAGTACAACATAGTTTCAATGAAATAATAGATCGCCAATCACACGGTTTTTTACCAAGACAAAAAAAATTGGGTCTAAAAGTAAGTAATCAAAATAAAAAAACAAGGTAATAATTATATATGGTTATTGAAAAATACTAGTGATAGTTCATATCAATAGATGACGCAGTCAACCGATGTTCATATTTTAAATAGAAGCTTTCAATAGTGACAAGTATATTAACACTATCATAGGTCTGTACTTTTATAATTGACGTAATCTTGATAATTGGGAGTATAGTTTGGGTGTTGTTAAGATGGGTGTGGGCAGGGGTGGCGCGACTAGTGGCGGAAGGGAGGATATAACTAGAGCCCATCGGGTCCGGGTCTCGAAGCTTTTTCTGACTGGGTCCGGATAAAAAGAAATATATTATCAACATAATATTTTTATACTACTCAGTGAACATAAGAATGCCATTTTGGATTTGAAAACTGGTTGATAGGTCTTCAGAAAACTAAATCAAAGACCTTTTTTTCTTTTTCTTTTTTACTCCTCAGTTTTAGTTTTTGAATAGTTAAGACTAAAAAATTTTCTAAAGGTACAGTTCGAGTTCAGACTAGTGCTCGTCGAAATCGGGTCCGGGTCTAAAAAACGTGGGTCCGATGGGCTCTAGATGTAACACTCCCCCAATCTCTCGAAATTTCTATTTTTTGCTCAACAAAATCTTCTTAAGGTTTTTACCAAAGATTATGCTAGCCCCCCCCCCCCTAAACATCGCGAAACTGGTCTTTTGACTCTAAAAGATTTTTGCTACATTCTCCAATGTTAGCTGACTTGCGCCACTCCTGGGTGTGGTTGAATAGTTAAATTCAAGTTTGACACTACTGCGTCGTAGGTATATTTATTAACGTAATTGTTAGATATTTGATTCTTGTCATTTCTCTTCTTTATTTTTTACGAAATAGAAAGTCTTCTTACCATTCTTAAATACATAATACCACACGATTTATACAAACGAAAAAGAAAAACATCATTAGACAACAGCAAAAAAGAAACCCAATCACAATGAACATTTGTCATATGTAAATAACTCAATAGAAATAAAGAATTGTCAAATAATAAAATTAAGAAAATGTTTATTCGATATTTTTGTTCGAGGTAGAAGCAAATATAGATTATATATTTGATGATTTATGGCACTAGAACGTGCATTCTTTTTTTAGTTGTTAATTTATGTCTTCATCAATTGTATCTTGTTGATTAGAATTTTCATCTTCTTCCGTTTGATAGGGATGACAATATTTATATCGATGATTCATATGTTGACTAAATGAACCTTGAATATGAGAAGAAAAAAAAAGAATTAACTCAATTTAGAAGCATTTCTAAAACTTACCAGAATGACTAAAACGTTTAAAACATTTGCTACATTGAAATGGTTTTTCACCAGTATGTAAACGACGATGTTCCGCAAGATGATGTTTATGTTTAAATGCTTTTTTACAGATATCACAAATAAATGGTCGAACACCTAAAAAATTCAAAAAATAATGATGTTTTTTATATTCTTAATTATGACTCTACCTGAATGTTCATATTTATGACGAGCTAATGAACTTTGTTTATTGAAAGATTTATCACATATATTACATGTTAATCTTTTATTATTTGATAAATCATCATTTGATAAAAAACTTATTTCAGATGAACTATTTGGACTTAATGATTCAATTTCTGAATGAGATTCACTGGATTTTTTTATTGATAAATCTAATGGTTCTGTTTGTGATATAATATTTTGTAAAATATGAAAATAATATTGTATATATTGTTCATTAATTGGAAAAGATTTAAATAGATTTTGATCAGTTTTTAATGGTAAAATTTCTCCTTCTTCTAAATCAGAATTATGTGAACAACATTTTTTTGATGCCATATGGGATGAATATGAACCCGAATGAGAAAATCGTTTATTACAATTTGGACAAACAAATGGTTTTTCACCTGTATGAATACGAATATGTTCCTTAAGAAATAGAATTGATTAAAAGTAAATGTTTTTTGTTTATTTATAAATACTTTTAAATGATGTTTAAATTTAAATGCTTTTGGACAATGTAAACATTGAAATTTTCGTGTTTGAGGATCGATTTCATGACTTAACATATGACGTTGAAGACGATATGTATTTGCAAAAATTTTTTGACATATATGACAGGAGACTTGATTTGCATTATGATTTAATTCATGTTCATGTAAATCATTCTGTTTAGAAAAAAAAAGAAAAGAATTTATATATGTTAAGTAATTCATTTTGATATAAAATACTTTATTAGTAAAAACAGCATTGCAGTGAACACAATGTAATTTTTCCGAAGAACATTCCGCTAATTGAATAGATTCATTTGAATATTTATATTTGGAAAAAATTTGATCTAAAAGATTAAATTTTCAAGAACGTGCAAAACTGATTGGATTATAAGAAAAAAAATTCGTTTGATTTATTTCAGTCAATTCTTTATTAATAAGGCATTTACATTTGTGTTAGAGTCTGGCGGGACCGGATTTTTTCATCCTGATTCCGACCGTCCCTCACTCGCAATGTTTTACCTAGATTTTTTTGTCCGAGGGTGCGAAATTAAATGTTGGGAGGGCAAAAATCTCTCTTCTAGGGAGGGGGAGCGCAGGGGCACCCTCCGAGAGGGCAAAAAGCCCCGTGCTCCCCTCCCGCTGATAAACCACTGCTCACTCAACAGAAACCCGTCCTGATCCCCGCAAAATATTTTTTCGGGATTTTTGATGCCGTTACCATTTTCTGTGAATACAATTCATCTAGACTTAAAATCCATGGATGTATTTACTCGCGATTCTGTAGTCCCTATTCCGTCCCGCTGGATTCTAATTTGTGTAGAATTGTAAGAAAAATGTTTTATTAATTTTGTTTATGCTCTAAATACTCCGAATGTTTTGATAAGAAGTTTAGATTTTCAAGTACGTGAAATGTAATTGACATACATTTAATTCTCTAGGAGTTTAATAGATAAGTCATTCATTCTTATTCTCTCGAGGTTTCTACTTATCAGAGTATCGAGCAGAGACAATGACAATGATAATCGAGAAGATGAGAGCTCTTTTCCTTTTCATTATTTTGAAAGAAGACAGATGTTACGAAATGATACTCTTCAATCTAACAGTATTTGACAGCAGTTAACTAATAACTCGACATAGATAAAATCTTGAATTTCTAAGAATACTATATCTATATTAATTAAAGATTTTGTTATTACCAGAGTCAATTTGTGTTGGTAACATTTCTTCATCAAATAAAGCTTTCGTTGAATGAGAACCACTATCGCATTCATCATTAACTAAATTATAAAACAATTCAAATAATAAATAAATTTCATAATAATATTTACCATCATTTATATCCATCATTTTATCGAATCATAGAGACTTTGTGTTTAAATCAAATAAATATTCAATCTAGAAAAAAAAAACAAATCTTATTATTGTTTTTCACCTGTTTTCAATATAATTTAATCGATTGAACACAGACAATAGCATGCCGGGTTCAAAAACATGATGATATTAGTATAAACGGCATGTGGGAAGATAGAACAACGACTAAATCAAATTTGTTATGTGACTTAAAGAAGAAGAATAACAGTAGTACACTTTTGTCTAATCGTCGTATGAGTATGATGTGCTGTGCACATGATAGAGAACGATGCGAATGTATGTATGCACATTATTATTACAAACTAATGTCATTACGCGACCGTTGACCGAACACTGATTTACATAAACAGACAACTAGCTCTTCTTCTTCTTCTTCTTTTTTTTATCCAACTGAGATAGAAACAAAAAGCAAATGATAGATCTCTTCGATTGGTTCACACCTGTTTAAACGAGAAAAAAAAGTGATTCGTTCTTCAAACAGTTTTTTTTCTTATTTAAATAGCAAATGAGAAAAAAAAGAAAAAAGATCATTGTATTCCTTTTTTTTCTCATGTAATTTGAGTAAGTCTAGCTTTATATTCATTTATGTAAAAGACAAATTACATGTCCAACGCATTATTTAAAAGCTGTCTTTGACTGATTGACATATATATTAGCATTGCTAATTGATGATGTATATTGAAAGAAAGAAATCTACTAGAAGAAAAAAATGAAATTCTTCGAAAGCCTAGTCACTCTATAAAAGAAAAGCAGACAGACACATCATCGAAAGAATCAATGGAATACTATACAAAAATGCATTTTTGTTTGCTATCTCTATACACAGACGATGATGATGATTATGATGATGGATATATCGTATTGCAAATGAATAACAGGAGATTGATATTCTACCTTCAATATATATATATATATAGGAAAGAAAATACTGATATGTATCTATGTACATGCCCTACATGTTCTGTTCTCATGCTACTACTGAAATAAAATGTGTGTGCGTTGTATATAGAAATGAGTTATTGCAATAAGACGTGAGAAGAGAAGAACAATAAAAAGACAAATATTCTTACACCAATCATCGAACATTTTTTTATTCTATTTAACTCACCTCTGATAGGTGCACAAAAAAAACGCAGTAATATAATTTCTGTTTTTCGCTTTATGCACATATGTCTGATTATCATTACCTCGTCGATGCATATTATATTTATTATCGCATATTGTCCATGTGTGTGACAGCAGATCTATCTAGCATAAAATACATATACAACATCGATGTAATAAGAAAAAAAAGGCGGTACAAAAAAGTGTTTATATGTATGTTACTACTGTATATTATGCATGTGTAACGTATGTACTACTCTTTTTCCTTCTTCCTATTATAATCTAATGAGTACAAATATATTCTAACGATTCAGTCGTTCTTCTCTTTTTCCTGTTTTTTCTATCATCTCTCTGTTCTTTTCAACACCTGGTGCCGCTTAAGAAAAAGAAGAAGAAATTTTCTTCTATTACATCATTAATACCTTTTTCCCTCTCTCTCTCCCTCTCTCTATCAGTACGATGTAACAATCATTTTTCTTTTTCTATATTTATTTTTCTTAAAGAGAAAACTCATCTAATATTTCGTTTACTTTATAATTGAAAGATGATGAGATAGTTGATGTACATATACATATACGTTCGAGGGCATCCCAAGATAGATAGATTGAAGAAGCATATATATATACCGATGGTGTTGCCATTTGCAGAAAGAGAAAAGATAAACAAATGTACCTCTTCTTTTCTTTTTTTTTTTTGCATACGAACGATAATGGACGTGTATATACCTTCTTTATCCTATACGAACATAACGGTAGTAGGAGAAGAAAAATTATAGACACTATCAGCAGGAACACACTTATCATGCAGATGTTAACAATCTCAAATGTGAGAGAAAATTGAACAGTGATAATATCTTATTATTTTAAGAACATCAAATCTATTCTTATTATTCGATTGTATATGTAAAATATATATATATATATGTGACAAGAATTTTTATTTACCTTGTGTTACACGGCATCATCATCATTTCAATCTGTTGTACTATTATATTTTGTGCCCTCTTCTTCTTTTTTTTTGGGTTTTATTCCATGCTCGATAGGTGTATGCAACAGCTTGTTATAAACCACTTTCTTTCTTTTTTTTCTCTCTTTCAAAATTCCGGTGTAAAAAAAAAGAAATGAATCGTTTTGATTGTTTATCATTTCTATGTACGTGACCGGTTAAAATCAGTAAAAGCATCTCTAATGTGATCTATACTATTGAAATAGACAGAATATCTCATTGTTATTTTGATGACGAATGAAATATGAGATGATTTGATTGCAATTAACAAACGTTATTAAACTTGAAAAACAATCAATATCTTTATATTCATTGTTGAAATGTATTTCTTATTTTCTTTTTATACAACCATACGCTCTTCCCAATTAAACTATAATAGACACCATAGGCAGTAGGCAAACTTCATAACATTATTATTATTTCATGTCATATGGCATAGAATATCTAGTTAAATCTACACATAGAGCCAATTGATGTTATACTAATTGGATAACAAGCAAGAAGGAGGTGCTCCCACCTGTTGTTATTTCCTAGAAGTAAAATAGGTCACATTATTAGACAACAGCAGTCATTTATCAATGTAATTTAAAACATCATATCAAGTGATTATATGTGATGAAACTTAATGTCCATCCGTTAATAGGATAATAGTCTTTGTCTCTTGCTAATTCTGATAAGAATTGTCACTATATATTCAAATTTAATTTAGTTACATATATGTATATATATGAATGATAAGAAAAAAAATGTTAATTTATAGCAATATGCAAACATGTGTTTAGTATGATTTGCATATAGATAATATTTCTTGATTTTATTATTCAGTATACAAGAAAAGTAAAAAATATTAACAAGAAGGATTTGATCACTGCCAATGAAAACCACCAGCACCAAACGGTACATCATTTCCAACGTTGGGACCTGTATCAGTTTGATCACCAGGACGTCGAACTTCATCAAATAGCCAATGTCTATTTTCAAGAGAGAAAGTATATCAATCATTTAAAAACAATATTACATACAAAAATCTTGGCGTTTTTAATATTTTAAAACCACCTTGTTGACGTGGAAATATATCTTCAAGAAAATAATAAATATGCCCAACGACAATGCCCATTAAATCGACAATAACTGAATTTCCAAGTAAAAGTGAAAAAGCAAATAATACCCATGGTAAATAAGGTGCTTGAAAATTTAATAAACCAAAAAAATTCATACGAACATATGGATTTCGTCGACTCCAAACATATACTAACATAATTGTTAATGCTGAACCAAGAAAAACAATATTAATAAATAAGGCCATTATTATCATTAATGTTCCACCAAAAATAAACATAAAAAGAAAATCAGCAGCACGTCCACGAAAAGAACCTTCTTCAAGATGACGACAATAACGATAAGTAAAGAGTAAATTAAAGAAAAAATTGAAACCAATAGTACCATAAAAACAAAAGCAAGTCATCAATCTCCATAACTATATAGAATAAGAAACAAAGAAAAGATTTAAAATTTTTACATCATTAATTTAATTTACTTGAAACTTTTTGAAGATCAATTCTGGATTAAAATATAATTGATAAGCAGTAACAAATTCAAGTTGCTAGAATAATAACAAAATATATAGTAGAAATGATTTGAGTCATGTGCTTTATCCAGATTTCTTTGGGCGGGCAAAATGAAAACTGTGGGTGGGCGCCGCCCATTCAGTCCACCCGCTAGATAAAACACTGGATTTGAAAATATATACTATTATTCAGAACTTAAATCATGTTAGACTATTTTTCTCATTAATCTATATCCATGATTAATACATTCGATATTTTTTCTATTACATTTTACCAGATGGGTTATATTTATTACGATTGATTATTACCCATTGCTCTTTTATTACTGTTTTATATATTTTAAGTTCGAATCAGATGAAACTATCTATGATATCGAGAAATTATTAAATGATCATAGAAATAGATGGAGCGTAGCCAGATATTTTGTATGAGAGGTACACACCAACAGAAAAATAGTTTTTTTGTCTTGTGACAAGTTTCTTTATCAGTACTCCCACCTTCAGATATTTTGTGGGCAAAGAAGATGCCCGGGCTCCTGAACGCCCTCCTCTGGCTACGCCTCTGAGAAATAGTTAATATGAAAAACTATGATAACCACTTACAACTGCAATTGTTGTTAAAATACAAGTTGTAGTATAGGCTCTTGTAATTGGTGGAATGGAAAAATATTCTTGTTGAAAAGCCATTATTTAATAAATAAAGATTTTTAATTTTGAATCATAAAACTTTGTACAATATAAACAAAAAAAGAGAACGATTTCTAAAATAAATATAAAGTAATCATATTCTTATTTTTGTTCGTAATTTTCTGATGCACAATATTCGAAAGAACATTAAATCTATTCAACGATCATTTTATTAATCATGTCTTTCTATAAATTCATTTCATTAAATAATTTCCAATCCAAAATTCAATATTTTTTTAAAGAAACAAAGTTGCACAAATTTATTATGTTAAATGATGATACGAAATGCAAGATACAGACGGAGGAAAGAAAAAAAGAAGAAGAGAAAAAAAAGAACTATACGTATGTATTGCGATTAACCGATAGGAAAAAAAAGAAATAGGTTTACACATACGATCACAAAAATCACTAACAAAAAAAAAAATCTTGACAACAGAATGTATTTTTTTTCTCTTCAGCCTATTAATAAATTTTTTTTTCCCAGGACAAACAACATATATATATATAAGAAATCAAAATAAAAAGATGATGCAATTTTTTATTTTGTAAGAAGAAGAAAAAATCACGGGTTATATAAATAAATGGTACTTCTAAAGGTGTATTTGTTTAAGTT